GGGGGGGGGAGGGGGGATGTCGTGTATCGACCTTGACTTTCGATACTCTCTTCATGAGAACCTGTATATAACTGCCTGTAAATAAGAATAAACCAGTCTTCAGTCGGAAACCAGTTGTGACGTTACTCTCTGCCCGAACCAAGTCTCTCCCTGTCAACTGTCAGAGACACCACAATTCTATGTCTCAATAAGTTGCGACTGGAGGCCGAACAGTTAAGCAAATCAACAGAGTAGAATCTTTATTAAATTTGTATGGAAGAAAATGCCTCTTCTCTTCCAGCTCATTCTTCAGAACACACTATTTTTGTATGTTTTTGTGCAAAAGTTCGTTAACCTAAGTTTCTTTTTAAACAATTTGTGCGTAAAATTACATCATGTCGTACTCATAAATGCAAAAATGGATTCAAATCAATGCAGAAATGTGTGCAGAAAAATGATTGCTTCAATTCATACAAATAAAACAGCCACAAGTCCAGTGCTCCTGCCTATCTCTGACTCATAAGTAACCATCCCTTAATGTATTTCATTTTTGAAACGGACCCGTTTCTGCCGGACAGTAGAGGCGCGGGCGAGGCGGGCGCGTCGTGGTTCAACACTATCTGTTGAGCAGCTCCGAGCAGCTCCACAGCAACAATAGACAGCTTGCTCTTTAAGTAGTCGGCCCCCCACGCGCGCTGCCCAGCGCCCACACCAAAAATTGTATTCAATTATAAAAGTAATGATTAATAGGCTAATTCACAAACATATCACGCAAAAATATACATTAAAGACAAGAACAGTACAGCGAGCAGGCATCGGAGACCCACATGGCGTCCGAAAGCGGATTGGAGTGAGGGGGTACTGGCGCCGCGCGAGTTTCTCACTCGCACTATCGCTTTCGGACGCCCGCTTTCGCATGCCCGCTCGATGTACAGGTATCAAATATATAGCGCATTTTCTCACAAACCTACGTGCCATAATATGTTCATAAATTCTCCGTCACAAAAACAACAACAATATATAAACAAAAACAGCCTTGGAGTAATTTTTCTTTTATTCATAAAATATCGCTCGTAACTGTAGAATAGGAAATTTTCTTAACTACGGGTCGTTTGACCCGCACCTCCTTCCACTCATTAATGTACTTTTTGACTGAGCATTTACCTCCAAGGAATCAAAGATACTCTGAACAGTTCGCTGTGAGTCTGAAGGACAGGGCTATCTATCTATCTATTTAAATTTATGAAGTGAGTCTTCTCCCACCAGGTCATTGTGACACTCTACTGGCTAGCTGCAGGGATGTCAGTTAGAGTGTTAGGGAACACTTTTGACATCTTCAGAAGCACTGCCTTTGATGTGACAGCTCTGGTACTTGACAACATATGCATGTTAATGGGGCATGTAATCAAGTTACCTGATGAAGCTGAGCTACCTCATGTCGGAAACAAGTTTGCAGAAATGGCAGATTCCCCTGTGTTTAGCCAGTGTTGTGGTGCTATTGATGGGTGCCAAGTGTACTTCATCTGTGATGATGCAGAGAGACATGATGAATACATCAATCTAAAGCTCTACTACTCAATCAACCTCAGCGGATTGGTAGACCACAGTGGCAAATTTATAGATTTATGCACTGGGTTTCCTGGCTCATGCCATGACATGAGAGTTCTGCGACACGGTAGTGGCCTGTTCCGAGCAGGAGTCTATCCTCCTAGGGAATATTTCAGCTTCGGAGATGGAGGCTACGCCTGCCTCAAAAATTCAACTACCTTAATAGTACCATACCGCAATGTGCACCTCACACCAGATCAACAGAGCTTTAACTACCCTCTGTCGAAAGCTCGGTCAGTAGTAGGAAGGTCTTTTGGACTTCTGCAAGCAAGATTTCGAGTGATGTATCATAGAGCACTAGAGGTGAAGTTCCCTAAAGCAGTGAAGGTGATAACAGCTGCACGTGTGCAGCATAATATACGCATTGATGCAGGAGATTTTGTGGATTACACTGTACTTCAAAGATGACGTCCACAGATATTTAGAGAGGAACTTGACGGAGAGGCAGACCGAAACATTTTGTGCCTTGCTCACAATGCAGGTCGACGCCAAGCCTAATTGAAGAGGCAATAGAACTAAATGCAGATCTATAGATAACTAGGTAGATGTACGCCAGACCACGTCTCGCGTAACACGCTTCGCGATATCTCACGAAACACTGTTACGCTGCGACGCGCCTGGCATACATCTTCCTAGGCCTGCGGCGCTGACACCCGAGTCGAGGAAAAGTCTTAAGTAGGCATTCAGCCCCAAAAGTCACAAATTTTGTTCCTCGAGGTTTAATAGGGTATTCCGCTGCAAGCCAACCGGAACCTAAAGAAGAAAAGCATGACTGCTCGATCTGTTTCCCTCTGCGCGCTCATTGGTTGACCGCCACAGCCACGCCATCTTTAGCCAATCAGCGTTCAGGAGGAAACAGATCGGGTAGTCATGCTTTTCTTCTTTCGGTTCCGATTGTGTTGTAGCGGAATGCCCTATTTTAACGAGTTACCTACCGGAGATCATCAAATCTCTGAGAAAAAACATAGAAATGTTTTGCGGTCATTTTCCTGTAGAAAAATCTCTCTGGTGCCTAAACAGTTGAAGATAGAGCCAAAGAGACGAAATTTTCGCCCGAAGTGCTCTCCTTTGATGAGTTACCCCGTAGGAAACAGTATAAAGATATTTAAAAAAAAACGTCATTTTGGGGACATGTCGTTTTTGGAATTTTTAAAAATCCAATTTTCGTGCTAGAATGCCCTTCTTTGAACTTGATTCGTCTTTATATGACACAAAACGACCCTGAAAATCCCAGGTCGCTAGCTCAATTCGTTCTCGAGTTATCGTGACGACAGACACACACACAGACACACACACACAGACAGACGCGAAACTTTTTGATCATCACTGGAGTACAAGTTAGATGTACGCCAGACCACGTCTCGCGTAACAGGCTTCGCGATATCTCACGAAACACTGTTACGCTACGACGCGCCTGGCATACATCTACCTAGGCCAGCGACGCTGACACCCGAGTCGGACAAAATGCAGAGTCGTAGATAGGCCTTTGGGTCCAAAAGACCAAAATTTTACCCCCAGGATTTTATTTTGACGAGTGTTCGTGTGAATATCGCCCTTTGGCGACTAAACGGTTAGAGATAGAGCCAAACGGACAAAATTTTGGCCCTGCGGGCTCTACTTTCACGAGTTACGTATAAGAAAGATGTAAAAAAAGTAAAAAATTAGAAGAATTATTTTGGGGTTTTCGTTTTGATTTTTAAGCAACAGGGCTCAAAATCAATACAGTTCTTGCTGTATATGCTACAAAGATACGCTAAAAATTTCAGGTACCTAGCTCAACCCGTTCTCGAGTTATCGTGATTACAGACAGAAGACAGACACACAGACAGACAGACACACAGACAGACACGAAACTTTTTGATCATCACTGGAGTAAAAGGCTTCGCTATCGCTCAGCCAACAAATTGTAATTTTACGACTTGCGTCAAGGAAAATTTTCCTGTAAACCTAAATAATTTTTTTCACAGTGTGGAGGAATGTTTGTAAACTCATTAGGACGGTATCATCCACAATGTACGTATGTCGTCGTCATTTCACCTCCTCTGATTTGTACCAAACAAGTAAGTGCGTCTTTTTTTGTTTTACTGTTACTTGTTTTAACAGAAGTATGCGAGAGTATGAGTAAAGATTTTAACTTATCACTGTCTTTTTTTTGTCTTTTTCAGCTTTAGGTTTAACTCGTGTGCGTAGAGGAGCCAAACTATCTCTGCATTTGCCTACTTCGAGTCCTGTGAAATTGAAAGCTAAACAGTTGTGTGTTGTGTATGGATGTGAAACT